TAGAACTTAGCAGTTCTGTGCTACCACACCCTCTGACCGAGGTATGAGTTATAACGCTGGGCAACAGTAGGTAGCAAAAAAAACTAAGTTCTCACTAAGGTCGGCCCAAGCAGCTTAGTGCGGAGTAGCTCCAAGTTCGTAAACAAAAAAAGGGTCATTAAATTGCCCAGGGAAAAGTCTAACTTTGACACAAAACAAAAGAGACACAAATAAGAGCTGAGAGTTAGTTTAGGAGTATTCCTCTTTTAGTGCAATGAAACTCCGATCTTTTAATAATACTGGGTATATTCACTGGGTTGTATAACAGGTGGCAAAATTTCACAATTACAGATAGAGAGACGGCTGAAGGCCGCTGCAGTATGGTCTATAAGAATTATAAACGGAGTGACGGTCCACTTATGAGAGTGCACCCTTCCCCAGTTGTAGCTACAAGTGGTTGACAGTAAATGGGCGCCTACATATGTCAACTTATGCCTAAACAAATTCCCACAAAATATATGAACAATAAAGAATGTACGTGGACGTGAGGTCAATCCACTATAACATACAGGTCGTGTCTGAGTGGTAAAGCTAATAATGTACACCCGGTATATTTCCCGAACAAACTTACAACACAAGTTATCGAAAGAATCGGTTAAACAAATACATACTTAACTACTAAATGTTACTGAACACTCTAAACACTACTAAACACCACTAACTACTACTATACTTATCAGTTAGACTGAATGGTTGTCACGGTATCTACTGTGCAGTGGTAAACTTCCAACGGAAGCCTCAATAGTTGATGAAGGCAAGAAGTCCTAGGGCTCCGTCCGACCAAGCTGAGAGAGACAGTGTAGACAAATGGATGACAGCTGATCTTCTAGCTCCGAAATAATCCTCACCAAGATGAGAAACAACGGGCACGTCACTGGACAAGAGGCAATCACATGTGTGCCTAGCGAAAGACAAGGAAGTTCGCAGGGCGAAGATAACTTCACTTCGGAGGGGAAGAAGGGAAGAAAAAACACCCTGTATAGAAATACGGTTGTAATAGCTGTACAGTACAAATAGCATGCAAAATGGGTATAAAATGGCGAAAATCTTTACCTTTTACTAAGGGATTTTTCCTTTAAATACCGAAGCGAACAGGCTTTCGGTTAAAATGCACTTAATCCACTGCCGGGACAAACAATCCACACAACGTCAAGCCAAGTGGGCGGCATTCAACACTGGCTGGAAGGTGACCATCGACATAACCCCGCTGTTGTGTAAAAGAAACGGGAAATAATTCTCCACAAAAACACCAAAATTCTATTCACAGAACAATCCACAAAATTGGAGAATCACTTTCTTCAACGCAGTTGATAAATCCCTCAAAGGATGTTTCAAATAAAACTAAATTTCACCACACGTTTAAAAGCACAACAACCTCAGAATCCACGTCCCAAAATCGAATGAATTTTGACAGTCTATTCTATCGACGATCTCTTCGAAATAATACCTGTAGCCAGTGAAGCACTTGATAGTGTAGCTGGTTGCATACTAACAACCGCGTTAGTCGTGAATTTAATTAACAGTCGTATAGGAGCAAAATAAAACTGTAACATCTGATCAGGTCAATTGGATTCGGATTAAGCGATCCCAAAAACATAGATAGATACATTGGTTTACATTGGTGGCAATTGATTTTCTACATTTGACCTTGAACTGACCTTAACGCAGACCTGATAGGATCACACGGACACTGGATTTGGATTCACCGACTCCAAAAACGTGTAGATATGAAGGTTTACGTGGGCAATTGATTCTCTACATTTGACCTTCAACTGACCATAGTGCAGACCTGATCGGATCAAAGGGACGTCGGATTTGAATTCACCGACCTCAAAAACGTATAAATATGAACGTTTATTTTGTGGTCAATTTATTTGACCTTGAACTGACATTAACGCAGACCTGATCGGATCAAGCGGACACCGGATTTGGATGCACCGACCCCAAAAACGTATAAATATGAAGGTTTATTTTGTGGGCAATTGATTCTCTACATTTGACCTTGAACTGACATTAACGCAGACCTGATCGGATGAAGCGGACACCGGATTTGGATGCACCGACCCCAAAAACGTGTAGATATGTAGGTTTACGTGGGCAATTGATTAGGCCAGAACTTCCAAATGCAAAGATGTAGGAAATAACTAAGAAAAATTTACAAATAATGTGTTCCGGTGTTACCAGATTTCTTCAGTAACTATTAAAACAATTTTTTTTAAATGGCAACACCGTATTTTTTTTTCCGGGGACCGCCTAGGCGGGTGTATTGGCAGGCGGATTTCGATCTGCCGGGTCCAGCATCACGGACGTGGGCCGGCATTTGGATGGGTAACCAGGCAGGCTTGGGATGTGGCTGTGGTAGCCTAGCAGAGACCTGGGTCGCCCAACATTTGCCGCACGCGTGTGGTCCCCGATAAATGGTAATGAGAGCAGAGCAAGTAATCTCTGTAACTCAAGACCATGCTATCACACATAAACTGTACGAGACTTTGCCACAAAGCCATCCGTGTAGTAAATAAGATGGTTTGAAGAAAAGTACTCGAGTAATGAAGGAGGGTGTACAAAGGGCCTAATAAGGCCTAAGTGCCGTGGTGGAAGACAATTCCACCACACCTCCGACATACACACACACACACACACACACACACACCGTATTTTTTTTATCATAATTTAACAAATCCTTAAATTCTAAATAAAAAATGTTATGTCACATTTCTTTATTGGAGTAGCCGTTTTAGAACAATCAGCAAAAACAACGAAAATAATCAGCAGGAACTAAAGTAAGCTAAGATAGTATTAAGTGGGATTAAAGAATTTAACAAAAATTGTGTTGTTTAAAAGTAGCCATCATTATTATGCTATCACTGTGTTATTCGAATGCTGTTGTATTTGAATGTGTATAAAAATAACGTGTTTTCATTTCCTAAAATGAATCAGTTATAATATAACAGTTATATAGTCATATCAGTTAATACAAGTGGAATGGGACACCATCTCATTTTACGCGAAATGTACGGGATATCTTCATGAACTACTGCCAGAAAGATGGATAGAAAGAAAGGGTCCAGTTGAGTGGCCTACTGGGTCGCCTAACCTCACACCTGAGGAATATCTTAAAAACTAAAGTATGCCTACGAGACCGCTCCTAATTCTCTTGATGAACTGAGACAATCAATTCGGCGAGAAATTATTAACATTACGCCCAATATGTTGGAAAATGTTAGTCATAATACCATTAAAAGAGCCCATTATTGTAGATTATAAGGAGGGCACTAGTTTGAACATTTAAAAAATAATAATTGATTATTTTACAAGAGTTATTTTTTTATTGTTATTTTAAACTAGTTTCTTTTAGCAAAAAAAGTTGTTGAATAATAATAATTGATTCTTTTAAAATGGCTACTCAAATAAAGAAATGTGACATAACACTTTTTATTTTTTTTATTTGTCAAATTGTGTTAAAAAATGCGGTGTTGCCATTTAAAAAATATTGGTTTAGTAGCTACTGAAGAAATCTGGCAACACGGGAAAGTATTATTTGTAAATTTTTCTTAGTCAAGTTATTTCCTACTTTGCATTTGGAAGTACTAGTCTATCACTTCAAATAAAAAAGGTGGCAATTTTTAAAAAATTACGCTGTATAGCAGCTAAGAAAAATATATCAATGGTATGGAAAAACGCTTTCATAGAAGTATTTGAAATACTTTTGGTATTACTGTTCTATTTAGTTTGAAGCATTTAAATACTGTAATTTCCAGTGGAATTTTTTGATAATAGCAGCCAAAATTATATCTTTTATCAATATTTTATTAATCAAATCGCTTTAGTTGGTTAAATAACTTCCCGGCATCGCCGTCGTCGTCATAGCGTTTCAAGAGAAATATTGTCTTCTTCAGAAAAGAACTAAAACGAGAATCCTCGGATCTATATTGACGTTTCTTCTGGCGTATTCCAAGAACTTCAAATCAGAGACCAAAACGACATGGATTAGTCCACACAACAGTTATAAATACCGATTAAATGACTTAATTTCCAGTTTCAGAGTTTATTCTGAAGAAGAGAGCGATATGTCTCTCGAAACGTCAAGAATTCTAAACCTACGACGGGACGTGATAACCAGTTTAGAAATTGTTGAACCAGTAACAACTGCTACGAAAACCTACAAACCAAGTTAATTAAATCCAGTTATACGTTATATCAGTACCAATCAAAATATGTTAATATAAAAGCGGTATTTTTCCGATGATTCAATTACACTTAAAAACCATTTCCATTTTCAGAAAATTTTTCAAACGAAAAAGATTATATTAATTAGCACTGCAAAAATTATTGTATAAATCTGATCTTATTTGTTACAACAAATAAAAAACACGCAAACTTTATTGCCAAAATGTCAAATTTGACAGATGAATTAATTGTTAAAGCTATCACTCTAATGATTACCTAAACTCTCGATATACTCTGGTTGTTTCTCGTACCCAATACTTAGGTATTTCTGTCTCTTAAAACTTCAGATTTGATAAATAACTGTCTCTTTAGATTACTAGAAGCAGCTACCAAAGGACAAATAGAAGAGCTCCGTGTTCTTTTAAAGGAAGGAACGGACATTAACTTCACAGACCAATATGGGTACACTGCCTTAACATTAACCTGCCGCGAAGGCAAAGTTAAAATAGTACAAGAACTTCTCTCTAATGATGCTTCTATCGAACAAGAAAACAAAACCGGCAATACTTGCTTGGAGGTATCGAACCAGTATGGACAAGAAGCAGTGGTACAGTTGTTATTTTCCAAAAAAGTGAATATTAATCACGTAAACGAAAAAAAACGAAACATCCTTGATCCTAGCCAGCTACAATGGCCACAAAAATATTGTGAATCTTCTCCTACGCCATGGAGCTAATCTTGATCAAGTTGACATTGATGGTGAGACTGCTCTTCATAAAGCCAGCTGGGCAGGTATGGCGGACGTAGTGGAGCTGTTATTGTCACAAAATGCCAGTTTGGAGCTATTGGATCATCGAAATGAAAACGCACTGTTAGAGGCTGTCAGCAATAATAAAAAACATGTTGTGGTGCTGTTGCTTGATCACAACGCCAATATCGAACAAGAAAATGTAGAAGGACAAACGGCTTTAACGATAGCTAGCTGGACCGGTGAGTACGTTTGATACGAATTTTTTATTTCGACATAATGATTACCACTCAGTTATTTTTGTAAAACATCTTCAAATTCTATTTATTGCTGAAGTAAATGTAAATGAATACCATCTAGTTTTGTAATTTAATGCTAGTCGGTTTTGAAAATTTATAAGGTGTTTTGCTCCAAGATCGGCATCCTCCCAAACATCAATACTTTTCTATACATATAAGGTGGTTCTTAAATGAGTACATAATACAGTGTGTCCACGTGGGGTGTACATGACAAAAGGTTTTCAAGTTAAAACTTGAGCTTCAGGTCATCATCCCCGATTGGTCTTAACCTAAGAAGTAGAAAAAATTAATCCAATTAATTAGAAAGTCCTAAATGCTAATGGGAAAATATTTATTCACTCCTTACATGTGTGTCATATATATTTTTCCTAGCGTTTTTATTACTTTTAAATAATTCAATAAATTTCTGGTCATAATTTAAATTGAACTATTTCATATTTCATATATTTTTGTAACAAAATAAACACGACAGAAAATTAAGCAAAAATCCCAGTTGGAATCATCGGAAAGGGTATTCCTAATTAAAACATTAAAACAATAACAATCGAACAGGAAATAATTAATCAAAAAATAAACGAATTTTAATTAAATTATTACAGCAATTAGGCATTCCGCTGTCAAATGTTGATAATCAGGGAGTTATTGCTGTAATTTATATTTAATGATTTAATTTTGTCTAGATTTAATTTTACATCCTGTTCAACACAAACTCACGAAATAAATATGATTCGTTCTAAAAGCGAATTGTTTATAACTACAATACTTAAAATTAATAAGTGCTAGAAACTAACATCAATACCTCATTTTCTTGCAATTGAATGTTTGATATTATTTTTAGATGACGCTTAAGTTCTTAAAGTTCTTGATTTCCATGGCAAAGGTGGAAATTAGATATATGTTAAAATTATTATATCATATTTTTTAACACAGGTATCAGAACACTATAGATTGGTATCTCAGTGCTAAAAATTAAACGTAAGCAGCGTTCCAAGCGGTTGCGCTGAGAGCTATTTCTTAAATCATTTCATCATCTCATGTGGGAAATTTGAAAAATAGTAGGTACCTAGATATTATATTGAAATCTAAGAGCATTCTGTATATCTTTGATTTTGCACTTAGATTGTTTGTGTTAAATGGTGGAGTTAAGGTATCGAATATCGCTACAACCATTTATACCGTCTACGGAGTGAATCCTATTGAAGAAAGTACACTGTAAAAAAATTTCACTAAAATTTCACTCAATTTTACTCAATAATATATCAATTTCTGTCTACAGCCGATTAAGTGAAATTTTCACTCTTTTAGTATGAGTAAAACTGAGTGAAACTATTGCATCAGAAATCAATGAGTTTTACTCAAATGCGAGTTACTGCTAACTATCATTTGAGCGACTTTTGACTCTATTATGAGTAAAAAAACAATTTAGAGTTACTTTTTCTCTAATATGATTTAAATTTAACTATTATTAAGTAATTTTTTACTCAAACTTGGTTTATATTCTCTTTAAATTGAAATTTAAATGTTATTGTATTAATGTCATAAACTACTAAGGTGCCACAGTGGTTTAAACACAGATCTGTTTTAGAGATAATATTTTAGGTCTCGAGTAAAGGAATAATTGGTAACCCGATCGAATGAATAGAGTGCCATAACCTATATTGTACGTCACAAATATGTAATTATAGATAACAGTTTAATTATCCATTTATTTAACCAAATATTAATCGAAACTTAATATACTGTCTTTAATTATTGTAATTAAATCATTGAATTTAAATACAGTTTTTACTAGAATAACCAGATAAACCGATACTCCAGAGCACACCATACGCCATACTGCCACCCACCGCGCCACGGTCAGGAGATAACCTAATGGGACGATGGGAACAGACAAAGACAATGCATCTGGATATGAAAAAGAGTGGGATCACCAGTAATGAGAACATTTACTCTAATTTAGGTGCCAGTGCACCAAATACGCGTTTACGTGAAGAATTTATTTAAGGAGTATTTCAGTGAAAGTACTCAGTTTTAGTTTAAATATAATCACAAATGAGTAAAATGACCAAAATGCCCAATATTGAGTGAAAGTGTACTCAATAATTTCACACAATGGATTCACTCCGAACCTTTATTGCTTTCACTCACACCGATTTTTTTACAGTGTATAGGAGGAAAATTGTTATCTCATTTCAAAGAGGGCCATTTTGACATGAGCGAATATCCCCTTTCAGAAAAACCTTCTGACTGATGAAGACCATTTGCTTGCTTTAAATAAAGATGATCGACGTCAATGATTCCGGTGATTTGACAGTACGACGAACTGTGACCAGTCGACCTTAGTATGAGATTTGCATTAAATGGGCAAAGTTGAACAATTGTTTGTATAGGTGCCGTACTTTGAGAGAAAATTTGCGTGTCAACGTTTTTCCCCCGTTGTTGGCTCGATGATGAATGTGTAGCTCGTCAGCAACATCGACCATCTTTGTCCCAGGTTATTGCTGATGACGAAAATGGCGCCCTCATGTCAATGCCAAGAATAGAAAACAATCTCATAGAAAGCCAATTTTCCAAACAGTATTCCACACTATACGATGGTGTGGGATAAACGAGAATACGCAAGTCTTCTTTTGCGAGATTTACTCGCCACACAATCAAGTGAGGAGGATCAGGAGAGTATAATATAATAGTTATGTTCTCTTGGTTTTTACAGAAAGCCATTCGGCGGTGTGGTAGAGATTTCTACGTTTCTGCCAATATATGAGACAGTGGATTTAGTGAGAGACTGAGAGAAACTGCAATAGAATAGTCCGTCAGTGCTTAGCTCATCCTCGTAAACTGATGTTGTTTATCTGGTGAGACAAAGAAGGCGTCGAGTGCTACGAGTTGCTTCCGAAGAATTTGACTGTCTCTAGTTTGTTGTTAACAACTCCGTCGTCTCGAGGTTGCTATTCGAGAAAAACAGAATGGGAATGCGCCTTTTTACACCTAACATCACAAAAGCAGCTATTCAACAACTCGGTTGGAGGGTCATTCCACATCGGTTTAATACTCCTGATTTTGTTCCATTAGATTTTCATCTTTTCCGCTTTTATCGGCAAACTTCGGGGAATATGGTACAATGACTTCAAAAATAGCTTGATGAATTCTTCTCTTCCAAATACCCGGACTTCTTCAGAAGTGGAATAAAAAAGCTGCAGAATAAAATAGTGTCGTTTTGTATATTTTTTATATATTTATATATTTTCTCTAAAAATCCTAAGCCTCTATGTTGGTATTAACTGTAAAACCCAAAATTATATTAATGCCGTTTTATACAACTTTGCAATTTTAACAAAGGATTCATTTAATGTAAAAACAGAATTTAATTGTATTAATTAATTAATTCATGCTATCCATCCCTTTGTTTATGTTTTATTAAATTATTAACCATTAGGTGGAAATGTTTTAATTGATGTAAATAATTACAGTTATCTTCAAAAACAAACAGCCATGTTTTGTTATCAAATAACATTGTTTAACCGACACCGAATTAATATAAAATCAGTTTTGTAATCGTAAATATCGTTTTGAAATGATTTTATTAGCCAGCTACTGTTTCCAGATTAAATCAGTTCGACGAATAGCTAAATGGAGCAGAATAACCAAATTATTATACAGAGTTTTAAGGAACAATATAAAAAAAATAAAGAAAAAAAGTACATCCAAACGCTCCATTTTCAAGATATAAGTTTTTTCAAAGAAATCTGTTTTTGTTTATACAGGGTGTGGCGTGTAAAATTTGTAATAGAAAACTCTTATACGAAAAAGTTCTATCTTCGCGTTTTTTTTTTGTAAATTAATTTATTCAACGAAAATGAAGGCCGACCCTGTGTTATTTATTACACACTTTGGAAATGTTTTTATGCGACCCGAGATGCATCATTATAATTTAAGTCGATATAATTTAATACAAGATGGTTAGGTTACATTGTCAAAAAATGTGTGTAGTCAACTGATTTTGTATATGTATTGAATTCATTATTCACCTAATTATTAAATATAATAAGCATCGTCCATCAGTTTTAAAAAGTAAAAGATTCCAGAGAAAAGTTTTTATTTTGTAATTCCACGATAGTGACATTGTAATTTTTATGAGGATGTAAAAAATAAGAATAGCGTGACCATTACATTAAAAACGGGATTCTTATTTTTTACTTTGCTTAATTTTTTAGTTTGTGCACAAACTAGATTTACAATGAACCCAGAAAATAATGAATTTACTATTTCCAAACGTGTGATATGGTGTAAGTGTATGGTGCAGCCGGAGAAAATGCGCTCGCGGCAACTGGGTTGTATCGGGAACGATGGCCACAATGCCCCCCCCCATGTGCAAATACAATCCTACAGTGCGTTCAGCGGCCCCGAGATACGGGAAGTTGTCAGCAAGTGAACCTTAATGTTGAAGATGCAGTGTTAAAAAATGTTGACAAAGGCCCCACAATTAGTACTCGACGACTCGTACAGTAAGTAGGAACCTCATCTCGTACCGTACATCGCATCTTAAGACATCAGCTGTTGCACTCCTATCATTTGCAACCAGTTCAACAGATTTTACCCCCGGATTGTGATCTACGAATGCGTTTTTGCAGATGGTTTTTACGGCAATGTGCCAATTAAGTAGACTTTCCTTATTATGTTTGTGTAACAGATGAGGGAACATTTACATGATCATGATGTGAATTTCCATAATATGCACATATGGGCCTATGAAAATCCTCAAGCGATTAGGGAAATTCATTTTCAACATCGGTTCTCGGTAAATGTTTGGGCTGGCATAACGACACTTTTGAAATGAAATGTTTTCTTAGCGATGGATTGGACGCTTTGGTCCTATGCCGTGGCCACCTCGGTCACCCGACCTAACTCCAATAGACTTTTATTTTTGGAGTCGCTTGAAGTTA